TAATTGTTAGAGTTTACATACACTTTAACCCCTGTTGACTGGATGCTGCAGGTTGTTAGAAATGTGTTTTCCAGGTCAGAGGTGATGCTATGGATGATGTGGAGGCCCGTTGTGACAGCAAACACATGTGGCAGCAAAATGCAACAAATCATGGTGGCATGTATTACTCATTGGGGTTGATTTACTAAAGGCCAATAGACTATGCACCTTGCAAGTGCAGTTGCTCCAGAGCTTAGTAAATGAGGTAAAGCTTCACGTTACAAAGAATACCCAACCACATGCAAGGAAAATTTTAAAAATAGCATTTTTGCTTGCACATGATTGGATAATGGAAGTCAACAGAACTTCCACTCGTTTGCTAAGCTCTTGAGCAATTGCACTCACAATCTATTTGCCTTTAGTAAATCAACTCCCGTGTCCATCAGCATCCTGCTTAAAAAGAAGAGGTCTTGTCTACTGCAAATCCTGACTCTAATGACATCACTAATAATGAAGGTGTAAAGTTATTTGAGGGCAGTACCTCTATATACTTAAAGTGTTACTAAACCCACAGCAGTAAAAATCAGTCTGTATATGCAATAAAGCATGCTTGTTATACTCACTGTGGAACCTAAGGGGTTAATCCTCTGCATTGTGTAAAAAGGCTGTTTGATCCTGACTTCTCTGCCCCTCCTCTTGTTCCAATGTCCACACTGATAAGACAGACTGAACCTGTAGCCCTTCTGCACATGCTCAGTTTGGTGTGTATTGCTAGAGAGTTTTATTTTCTTGGGAGAGTGCATGTGATCAGCACTGTCCAGACAGAGGTCAGGGGTTTTGCATCCTCCTAGAGCAGAAAGAAAACTACTCCTACAAGCTTTAACCAGTGCTCAGATGAAGTCACAAGACTTCTCTAACTGCTGATGAGAAAAGGTATTTAGCAGTTTTTATTTACTAAAATAATTACACCTCCATGTAGTGTGTGCTGTGGGAGACCAGATATAGTGAATGCAGGGTCCTGGGTTTAGTAACACTTTAAGCATATGGATTCTTCCATCAGAACATATACCAATTCTCCTTTCCATCTGTTCAGCAGGTGATAAAACATACTAGATCATCTCTATAAAAATGATGCAATAATCTCAATATAAACAGACAATGTAATCACAATTTTTCACAGTCATGCTTTCAACAAGCTAATGGTAGAAATGTAGTTTGCATATCAGGCTGAAGAGTTGTATCCCACCTTGATCAACAACATATAGACTGATTCATTCACATGTATACCAATCTTATCTCTCAATCACTCTGTGTTCTTGCGTGGCATAAACACCCCAAGCAACTGTCCTTTAAGGGTGAGAGGTCTACAGGCTTCATTTATTTAAAATGGCACAAAGAATATGCTCAGACCAAGGATTTTACATCTCTTTTTGCTGTGAGCCTCAAGCAAGCAATTTCATTGTGGACTTGTGCCTTATGTTTTATTTAAAATACTTTTTTTTTAATACTGATACATATATAATAGAAGGGCAGTTGTATAATTCATGCAGCATAGCATACATTTCTTATTCCCAGAGGGTTCAATAAACTTCAAGCACTATAATTATTATTAAAAGAATCTCTTTAATTAGACTGGCCATTTTCTTTTCTACAATAATTTTTTTTTGTTCCATTTTCATCAAAAATAAGTAAATACAGGGTAACATTAGAGGGGTAAAGAAAAAAAAAGTTAACTTGGAACACAGTACATAGTAAAAAAAAAACTTTTTTTAATCAGTAATAAAAAAAAATTAAAAATTACAGGGAGTAGACTGTACATAAATGGCAAGGAATAGACAAACTCACTAAGGTCTCAGTAAATATTGAAAAAAAAAGGTATATAAAGTGTGCAAGTTGAAAAATATCAGAAACACCTATTAAACACTTTAACCTGAGAGACCTGAAAACAAAATAAATTAAATATCTCTTAATTTATAATTGTCCTTCTATACATGAGACACTGTTTGTGAAATACTGAATCAGAGGGGTTTAGTATTTCACAAATATATTTTTATCACATCTTAGGCAGAATATGAAGGAGAAAGGGGTGGGGGGGGATTTTTAGGCATAGTTAGACTTGGGCTTTTCTACCACTATAAAGCTGGCCATAGATGGTTCAAATCTCGGCCAGTTCAGCAGGGACCAGCTGAGATTTGAACCATGTATGGGCAGGCTGCATGTACCCAAGTTGATTGATCGATACAACTTGGGTACAAGTCTGTCGGATTTGACATGTGATCATTGCTAGTAGCTATTATAGCTGCTAGCAGTAATCACTGTGTTCTCCTTTCTAGGATGGCCATTGGCTGAGAGCGCTGATCAAATGGTAATCAGCAGACCTTTTTCGGTCATGTGCCTTCAACAGAAGCCTGACTGGCTTTTGTTGGACCAACTGCCATACACACAGGCTGAGTTTTGGACAGTTTCTACTGAACCAGCCCATACCGCTTGATATCAGAAATCAGCTTAACCTCCTGTTACAATTCAGCAGTTGCATCAAAACCAGTAATCTTGTATATTAGACATCTGAATTCTTAATGTTCCTTGTGTATATGACAAGGTTACTATACTTGACTTGTCCTGTTTATGTGATCCTAAAGTCTTTTAGAGAAAAGCCATGCAAAACATAATGATATTTGTGCATTGTGATGATCATGCCGTGTAGGGGTAAAACCACCCGCTCTGTAGCTTAAGAAATACCTGCTACCATATACAGAGATTTTCCAACATGTCAATGGCCAGTTGCTCATTTTTCACTTCTTTGTAGAGGAAAACAAGTAACGTTTCCACTGTGCATGTACTGTGTCTGTTCCTTATTCAAGGTAGGAAAAAGAACACAGGATAGTAAGGCTGGTTTCACAGTGAGTTGTTTTTGAAGCGCGTTTGTGTTTAATAAAAGCACAGGAAAAGCTGAGGAAAAATCCTTTCTTTTAAATTTGGGCAGCACAGTGGCTAAATGGTTAGCACTTCCACCTGGCAGTACAAAAGTTGTTGGTTCAATTCCCTGAAAAGAGAACCCTAACCACAAAAGCTAATGGGGCTTTGAAAGTACCACACCATGCCAATACAAGCAAAGAATAAACAGCAGATAAAATTGAACACCTTTTATTAGGTTAAAAAACCACCCATCGGTGGAAAAAGTTAGTCAGACATAGACAAAAAGACATATATTGAAAATCAACAATGGGTTGCAGCAGCTGATGTCTTAGACGTAATAGACATCACAGGCATTGGCCATAGCGAGCAGCAGCCACTGTGTTGGAACGAAAATAGGCTCAACTGTACAGATAGTATATGAAATGGTTATCAGTGGAAATATATACATATATAGACAAAAGAACACCCAACCATATGACATAACAGGTTTTAATGAACAACTGGCGATACAGTATCCACTTGAGACCATGAAAAATGCTTTGCGTTATAGATTCCAACACGTTTTGTGGGACACAACCCACTTCTTCAGGGAAAAAAGGGCAAAACATAAGTGCCAGTTGATGATATCAGCACATTCTGAGATACCTCCTGCTAGGTATAGGTCAATGGTATCTGGGTGAAAAGGGAGAAGCCTCCAACGACCATAAGAAAAAGTAATCGATCAAGAAAGGGTTCAAATGTATTTGAAGACTTGTGGAGGCCAAGTCATCATTCATTCAAAACAGGAATGCAGTGGCCAAGTGGTATAAGTCATCATATATAGCCAAACATAGATTGCTTTACAAAAGTGGGGAGACAAATATCTTGTCCAAGGAGGGGGAGGAATGAACCTCAAGTCCAGTTCCCCCATCCGTGTAGACCACAGCACCACCTCCATGGAGTTTGCATGTTCTCCCTGTACCTGCATGGGTTTTCTCCGGGTACTCCAGTTTCCTCCACACTCCAAAAAAAATTATGGTAGGTTAATTGGCCCTAGTATGTGTATGTATGAATGTAAGTTAGGAATCTTAGATTGTACGCCCCTTGAGGGTTAGGGACTGATGTGAATTTACAATATATATGTAAAGCACTGCGTAAATTGATGGCGCTATATGAGTACCTGAAATAAATAAATTCTATGTAAGTCTTCACACTGGTCCTTTGTGGTGTAAAAAATCCTGCTTGCCCCATTTTTGCGGCATATTTGGTCAGTTAAAAAAATGCACCAAAAACGCACTTCCCCATTGAAATGAATAGGAATTGCATCAAAAACACAATGCTCCTGTGGGAAGTGCTTTATCCAGTGTGGAAAATGCAAAGAAAAATGCAAAAAAAAAGCAAGAAAAAACATATCAAAAACACAACACAGCAGGAAAAACTGCAGTGTGAAAGCAACTTCAAACTGGCTATACGTTATACATTTTTTTGTACAATTTCCTTTAGATTTAACAAAACCATATAATATAGAGTTCAAACCTAAACACTTTCAAATTGTGTGAAATCAGGCAGGGCCCTTGCACTGTATAGCTCCTTCAGTTAAGTCTGGCACAAGAAAATTGTGTCATGTGTAGCCAGCTTTAATCTCAGTGATCAATCTATCCTTGGCCACCTAAGGAGACACAAATAGAAGGTACGAATAAGTTGTGTAATTGAGTGATGAACCTGTTACACATATACACTAGGACAGTATAACATTTAAATGTTAAAAAAAGAAATAAAAAATGTAAATGTAATTGAAATACCAAAATAACAAACTTTTCTCTTTACTGCATAATAGCCACAATGTTCAAAAACTATCATCTACACTAAGAATTGCTGCTACGCCTCTTACAATTCAGATGAATGTGATGTGTAAACTAGAACACAGCAGATCTATGGCATATTCTCCACGTAGCATGAATTAACTCCAATTATACCTATGCATGTGGCACTGTGGAGGTGGAGAATCCCTCTTCTAGTAAACCCACCTACTGTGTCTCTTTCCCTCCTGTCATCAGCCTTAAGAAATTCTCCCTGACTTACACTTGCTCAGCTGAAATTCTGCCTGGTTTACAGGAGAGGCAGCATGTCAGAACAGAACTCTACAGCTCCTGCAGACAAGCACCCCAAAACAGGATGCCACTACCCCTAACAATACCTCTTTGCCCCTTTCACTTTCTCAGACTGACTCACGTGACAAATGGAGCAAAAAGATGGACTTTCTCCTCTCTGTCATTGGATTTGCTGTGGATCTGGGAAATGTGTGGAGGTTCCCTTACATCTGTTATCAGAATGGTGGCGGTAGGTAATATATTTTGCTATTTCTTCAAAATTATTTGCAATCACTTGATTGATTCTCTGCCTTTATAGAACATGTGGAGTATTTTTAAGACTCCCTGAGGCTGAATCCAATGCTTTTCTAAATATACACATTTTTTTCTATATTTGTTTTGTAGCTAAAAAAAAAATAACGTATTTAATTAGCAATTTTAAATAATGCAGCATGCTATACTATTTAATTATCAATTTTAAATAATGCAGCATGTTATCCTTTTGAAAAACATGCAAAGTACAATTAGTAAATATGTTCAAGTTTAATTAATGTATTGAGCATATTATGATTTCTTAGTTATATATGTTAGGTTGAAAAAGATACATATTCATGGCATAAATGCCATTAATGCAATAATTTCTAGCAAAGCATTCAACTGTCATTATGCAACAAGTATACTGGTTATGGAGCAGCTTTATGCATTATAAGTAAGTAATTCCCAAAATATTATCATCTGTATTATTGCTCATATATATCGCAAATATTATTTTAATTTATATTTTTAAAACGTCTACTATATAGTTTGGTAAAAGTGTTTGTACTTCAAATTAAATTACAATGCAGTGTTATCAAAATGTTAAACAAATGAAACTTTAAAAAGAAAAAATTCTCAAGGACTTTTTTCAGAAAATGTTAAGTACAACATGTATTATAAAGTTTCCTATTATTGGGAGCCCTACTATTATTTATTTATTTATTGCAGGTACTTAGCACCGTTAATTTATGCAGCGCTTTACATATATATTGTGCATTCACACTAGTCCCTAACCCTCAAGGGACATACACTCTAAAGTCCCTAACTTACATTATACACATACTAGGGCCAATTTAGACAGGATCCAATTAACTTACAGGCATGTCATTGGAGTGTGGGAGGAAACCGGAGTACCTGGAGGAAACCCACGCAGGCACCTATTACCAGGATATTCTACTTTTAGTTATGGATTATAACTCCTATGCACTTTTTGGCTTGATTTATAATTGGTTTAGAATAAGTAGGACATTTATTATAAAGTTTCCTTTTATTGAGAACGCTACTATTAACAGGATATTCTACTTTTAGTTATGGATTTTAACTACTGTGCTCTTTTTGACTTGATGTATAAATGATTTGGAATTCCTGCTTTATAAGTCATAAAATAAAATCTTTTGCTCGTTTTCAATTCTTAGGGAATTAATTCCCTGGAATAATTAGTACCTACATTTTAATAAATTAGCTTCATAGAGAAGGTAATATTCTAACAGCATTTAAAAAAAATCTACGTATGACATGCTTGCATTTTTATTTAATTTATTAGATGTGGTTCTAAATGATAAAGTTTTAGTGGCCAATTTTGTTCTATAGGGTATCTCAAACATTTTGTTACACGTGTGCTATAGTCCATAAAAGCTGAATTAGAGTTAGCTTGAGTTTATCATATTTTATGTTCTCAAACAGAATGGTGATCCCAGACATGAAATAAAACATGATGGGACTGCTATTTAGTGTTATCATTCAGTGACTCAAAATACTTTATGCATAAAAGTGCTGTTCCCTGAATACTTTTAATATTTTGTTCAAGTCATTAGTATCATTTATACTAGGTATAATCTGCCAGATTTTTTTGCATTTTAGATGATGAGTGCTACTTTACTTATTACTTGTCTTAGCCAAGCAGCTTTAGAATTCTAATTAAAACACATCTAAAAACACTAACCACAAAAATAACCTATCATACTAGATTTAAAATTCTGCAGTGAACTACACAGATGTTACTTTTTATTTTACATATTTACTATCCCTTAGAGGTACTCTCTCTGTTTTTTTTTTGCTCTTTTAATCGTAATGTTTTCTTTCTTTTAGAATTTGCATTAACTTATGTAGATAAAAGCAACCTCTAGGGATGGCAATGATTAGAGTTTATGATACTTGTGTTAGTACGACAACATTGATGGTAGTATGCTACAAATAGACATCATGTATGTCTTAAAGTGCAAATGAAGTTTCACACTGAAGTGCTCTTTGTGTTTTAATATAAGTAAAACTAGCACTTGTACTGGTACAAGTTTTCGTTATGTTATACATTATATTAACGTAAGTCTATCTTTTATTTTAATTTTTGGAAAGTGTAGATAGAGTTAGAACCTTTGTCGGGGTTTTATCAGTGTCTCTGCCTTCAGTGGAATGGTCACTGTGACAGGAAGTGAAAGGTGCCTTTTCCATGTGGACAGAGACATAGAGAAAGGAAAACAACAGGAATGCAAAAGTTACAGAAGTTTTTAAAGCCCTCCTTCAGTCTAGCCATAAGAAAGGAATAACATTTTGGCCATGGTTCCACTTTCAATATATTTTGTGTTTTATACAAGATTATTTTTTCCTTGTGTAGGTAAATTGTGGTTTATTTGTACATTTGTGAACTTTTGTTTGCTTACACCAACCTTTCACAACTTTTTTACCCAGAGAATCCCCTAAAATCATTTTCATGTCTTGGGAAACACTTAAATAACCATTTAATTGGGGACCAATGGGAAAAATGCCCCTACATGATCAGTAGGCAGAATGCAACCCATACAGTGGTGGTTAGAATACCATCATTATATACAGATAAAAAAAATGATTTATGGTCATGGTGCAGGCTTTGCCAACTGATATCAGCTCTGGAACTATGTTGGCACCATAAAATGGAAGGACAAGCAACCACAGCTCAAGGAACCTCTAGGAACGTTTGGATGAAACTTTGGGTTTCACAGAACCCTGGTTGAGAATAGGTGGTCTATATGCACAATATAAAATAATAATACATCAATGCTATCTGGTATTTTCAATCCACTGAAATAGTGAGCAGATGGTTTCTCTTTAACTCCAAGCATTCTACTTTGATTAATAGCTAACATTGTACAATAAAAAAAATTATAAACCTTCACTTTCCTAGAACTTTATAATACTAAGCAGCATGCTTAAAAAACAGCATACACATCCACAAATAGACACTATATAAAAATACAAGCAGCTATAAAACAGTCTTTTATAATCTACAGATGAACCAAAGTGGATATCCAATCTTCAGTAGATCCTCCACATTTCCACCATCAATGGACAGCACCTTTACCAAGGAATACAAAGAGCAGTTTACCAGATATATAAACCTATAGTTTATAGGAGGTCAGGCTGCGCTTATGTTACATTTCTTCAGGGTACTGATTGATCTAGACTTTGCGGTTAATGCTATCCATTCAAGACCATGCAAGCACGCTTCCTTCCTACTGTTTCTCCACTATTTGCTAGTGTCACTTTCTGCCCCTTCTTGCTTGTTTCCCAATAATATATATATGGCAATATTTTAGTGAAAGATTCATACTTTGTCTTCATAATAAATAAAGTAATGAATAATAACAAAAATACTAGATGTGTTATGCATTTGTGAATTGAGCCTTTTGGGGCTTATGTATAAAAAATAGGTTAAATGGAAAATATTTATCTTGCCTATAGCAACTGTTTAGAATCTACACACATCATCTGACTGTTATCTGGCTTCTACTCAACGCTTGTTCTAAAAGAAAATATTTGGCACCACCAACAGTACTTGAGTACACAGGTGTGCCATAATAGGAAGCGGTTTCCTATGGTGGCAAACCAAGAAGATTAGGAACCAGGAGTGTTGGCAGGGGACCTGAAAAGAGTACATTTGGGGCCACTTTGTGCAATGTCATTGCACAGAGCAGGTAAGTATAAGTCTGTTTGATATTTAACAAAAAAAAAGGAGATTTTACAATCACTTTAATGTTAATATATTATAACATTATATTATTATTATTATTATTAACTTACAGTATGTTTTTACATTTTAGCTTGCATGTATTAATACTACAAACTTTAACAAAAAATAAACCATTTACTCACTCAAAACGTTTATAGCAAAGAATCATAGTTAATGGAATTCCCATCCTGCCTTTGCCTTGCTCTGCCAATACACACATCATCTGAAATTAATGTAAACCTATTTATGCAAAAATTAATGATCACTAGCATTTCCATCTGAACCACATGTGTATTGAAAGGAAATTGGAATAAATTTACCCCTCATTTGCATTGCAGTGATGTTGAAAGCAGCAGGTTTTAATTTAGTCACATGATACCTTTTACAGGAACTATATATAATACAACAGTGGATCACTGCATTTTAACAGTATTACCATTTCAAATTCATTATATGTATGTTCACCATTCAATTGCTGTACAAATTGCCTAATAGTCATTAAAGCAAATTTTTTTTTGCACAGTTTACTATATGCCCACATACAAATTGATTACATACTGATGTTTATGAAAATGTATAACCTATCCTAACAATTTGTATCCTTAAACAAAAGTTAACCAGGAAATGCCATGAGTCAAACCTACCCGTGAAATTAAATTGTTAGCTTTTGGCAGATGCTGTAGGGTTGAATCACCAAGTCTTCAAGCTTGGGCCCCTGGTAGTAAGAACCCATCACTCAAGTAGTAGCCATTACAAATTCAAGCAATATAATAGATAGCTGAAGGCTCTATTATCAAGAGTGAAGGTGCTGGAAATTGATAGCCTTGGTATTAACATGGTGGGGAACTAATGTGGGAAGATCTTGCTGTTGAGAGGTAGAAGTAGAAGACAAGGACACAATAAGATAACAATAAAAGTGAGCGCTCTATACACAAAAGCCGCTGCACACATTCAAGGAAACCAGATAAAGCCTTGTGCAAGTTATTATTATTTTTTATTATTATTATTATTATTATTATTACATCGAGTTTATATAGCGCCAAAGGGTTTGCTCAGCGCTGTACAATAGGGGGGACAATACATGGCACAGTACAACAAAAACAGACAGCGTACGAGGGGTAAGAGGGCCCTACTCTTTCAAGCTTACAATCTAGGAGGGAGGGGGTAGTGGGAACAATAGGAAGTGGCTGAGGGGAATGAAGTGGCTGAGGGGGATGAAGTGGTGGGAGGAA